CTGAGCCACCGAGCCCGGCCCTATTTATTCATTTTTTAAATGTGGGCGACAGAGTGAGACTCCAACTCAAAAAAAAAAAAAAATGTAGCTCTTGTTACTCAGACTGTATTCTCTTTGAGACCAATTTTGTATAAGAATAATCAGGCTTTGGCATGACAGAAGTTGCTTTTCTTCGTATTTTCCCTCATTTCAAGAATTTGAGAAAAGACCTATAGATACTAAATCTCTGGCCAAAATGACCTTTTGCCATATATATGTAAATTATATGTATTACCAAATAGCACTAATTGACAAGTGTACTTTCTTTCATAAAGCATATACCAAGGAAGCAATAAATTGTTCTTGAGGAAAGGACTCTTTATCTGTGGTGTATGAAGGGGGACTCAAGAAAAACTGAAATTATAATTTGAAGGGTGAGTTCCTTGTAATGCAGGCTTTCCCCACTTGCTAAGTGTTCTAGGAACCCATTGGCATCAGTGTACCAGCTAGCGTTGTTGTGAGAGGCTGTGTTCAGCTTTGGTGAATTTTTTTTTTGGAGATTGTTTCAGCGTGTTTGCCCATTTCATGATGGATGATTTACAAGTGCCCCTGCCCACACCATGCTGAGTATTCAGCAAGTTTTTAACCAGAAATGGGATGACCCCCATTCCCCACCCTCTCTATTCACCTGCTCTCACCTCAAGCGACTTTTTTTGTTTCTCGAATTTTTTTTTTAAAGAGTCTTCAAAGGGAACCATTTTTATTATTTTATTTTTCTACTTTTTAAAAAAAATTTTACAGATATGTGGTACAATTCAGGGTTAGGTATGCAAATGGTCATTGTACAGGTAAAGTTTGGGCCTCACTTTGGTCCCTACTTCTCCTGATTTGAGAACAGGTAACCTTATTGATGAAGTGTGCCCCCACCCACCCCCGGCAGTTTCCTACTACTGACAGTCAAAGGGAACCACTTTACTGATGTGGAAGAGGTGAAACAAAAAACAATAGATGCACTAAAAGGCATCAAAATTGACAAATTCAAAAACTGTTTTGAGAGTGGAAAAAGTGTCTCGATAGGTGTATTGCATCAAACAGAGTACTTCGAAGGTGACTGAAGGTAAAACATGTAAGAATAAATACGCAGTTTTTAATAAATAAAATCCAGAGTTTTTTGGGTCCCCCTTACACATTGGAGTATGACCTGGATTTGAATCTCAACTCTTTACTACTTCTCTGGTAAACTTGAGTAAATGTGTTTCTGTTTCTTCATCTTTAAAGTGAGACTAGCAATTCCTAGCTGTAAGTAAATTGTCTTGTGCATGATAGGTGCTGAGCAGATGCAAGTTCTCTTATGCAGATTTTAAAATCTGTATGTATTTTACTCCCTCTCCTCTTAGGTGGCACTTCCTCATAATCAGTATTTGGAAGTGCCATGACTTTTGTTTAACAGTTTGAGATTTCATTTACATACCATACAGTTCACCTATTTAAAGTATGTAATTGCTTTTTAGTATTTTTACAGAGTTATTGCAACCACAGCCATAATCTAATTTTAGAAAATTTTTGTCACCTCAAAAAGAAACCCCCTACCCATTACTAGTCATATTAAGTTGCTTTTGGACTCTATTTCCATTGTTCATTAAAAGCTGAAGTATAAATAAGTGAGTACATCAAGAAGAGCAAAATGAATCAAATATCTGTACTATGTAAGTCAATGAACCATGTTTGTTTTTTTTTTTTACTGATTTATATAGTCACAGACATTAGATTCCATTATGACATTTAGTATAAATAATTTTTTTCCGGGCCAATCAAGTGACTTGAGCCTATAATCTCAGCACTTTGGGAAGCAGAGGCAGGAGGATTGCTTGAGCCCAAGAGTTTGACACCAGCCTGAGCAACATAGTGAGGCCTTGTCTATACTAAAAATTTTTTTTCCTTTTATTTATTTAGAGGTGGGGTCTCACTGTGTTGCCCAGACTGATCTTGAACTCTTGGGCTCAAGCACTTCTCCTGCTCTAGTTCACAAATAGATGGGAATACAGGCGTGCATCACCATACCCAGTTTAGCATACTTCATTTTATAAAGTCACTAAAGACTATTTTCCTTACATTTTTTACTTTTAGAAGTTCATTCATCTACTCTCAATGACTTTTAAAAATTATTACTTGGTTTATATATATCCTGCTTCTGCCTTCAATATTCTATAAATGCAAGGACTTGTTATGAGCTAGGTGCTGTGTTAGACCCCTAAGGTTAAACAATTAATCAGACACACTTTAGAAGTTTACAGTTGTAGAAAGATGGCATGTAAACAAATGACTAATATATAGTCATTGTCATTGTGAAGAGGTGCATAAAGTGCTGTGGAACAATGAGTTCTGGCCAAGAACAAGATTGGGGGGTGGGGTGGGAAGGGGAGAGCAGAAATAGAAGGAAGAGTTGTAGAGAAACTACAAAGAAAGTGGACCTTGAAGATTGAGTAGAATTCACTGGGTAGATGGTGGAGGAGAAACGTGTTCTGAAAAAGCTAAGAACCTGAGCCTAAGCCTAGAGAATTAACACATACACAATGCTTAATGAAAAGTCAGGGAGTTATTTGATAATCACTAGAAGGACCTGAATCTAGTGAATAGTTATAAGACAGAAAAGATTCTTTGGAGCAGATTTTGAAGGACTTGAAAGTCAGTTTACCACCTTATCGCCTTTACCCTTCCACTTCTGGCTTCCCTCTACAGATAATAGCCTTTCCCAATCTAATATTCACATTAACATAGTTATTGCTATCATTATTGTAGCTCCCTGAAGTTTTCTTTGACTTCTTTCACTACTTTGCACCCCAGACGTTTCGTGTTAATTAGTAAATGTCCGTCTCTTCCTTTCCATTCCCATAGCCACTACCATGGTCTTTTTCCTAGGATCTGTTTTGTTCATTTTTAATATTATTTCTAGGACTTTGTCATTCATGGGACTTCACCTTTTATCTATTTTAGTATTCACTAAAATAGTTCCTATATCAGGGACATTGAAGAATATGAGGGGCCAGAGATTTTATAATAAGGAAAAGAGTTGTCCTTATTATATTCTTATCACGAGCTCACTAATAAGGAGTTCTCCATGTACTGATATACAATATATTATCTAGTGAAAGGAAGGGGCAGAAGGGTAACGTACAGTACCTTCTGTGTCAGAAAGGAGAGGGATATTAGAATACAGACTCTGCTTATATTTGCACAAACCACTCTAAAAAACAATAGACGAAATAACCAAAATAAATACCTATGGGAGCAGGTGGAAATGGTCTGGAAGAGGATGGGGTGAGAAATAAGAATTCTCAATATATACCTTTTTTTATGTTGTTCCAATTTTTGAATTGTCTGGATATCTCACCTATAAAACTCTGACCTCATGTGCTACTGCAAGGGAGTGGAATTGAGAGGGCTCTAATTTCTTGTTGCCCATATGTGAAGTTCACTTCTTAGTTTACTATTCAGATGTCTCTATTGTGTATGTACTATTTAACTGACATGAACTATATGTCCTCAAATCACATTCAAACCTCAGCTCAGAATTTATCATATCCTCCTCTACAGTTTGTTAACTTTTTTGTTCTGTCATTTTAGCATAATGTATTTATGTTCTATATTTATCTATTGGTTCTTTGTTTGTATTGCTAAGTATCCTATTTCATGAATGGTTTCTACTCCCACTTGGATTGTTAACATCTTCAATTAAAAACATAGTGTTTTCACTTTTGTATTATCAAAGCATAATATAATAGATTTTTTTTTTTTTTGAGTTGGAGTGTCACTCTGTTGCCCAGGCTAGAGGGCAGTAGCACGCTCCTGGCTACCACAGCATCAACCTTCTGAGCTTAGGAGATCCTTCTACCTCAGTCTTTCAAGTAGCTGGAGCTATAGGCATGTACCAGCATGTGCCACCATGCCCGGCTAATTTTTTTGATTTATTGTAGAGATGAGGTCTCGCCAAGTTGCCCAGGCTGGTCTTGAACCTGTGGGCTCAAGTAATCCTCTCACCTTGGCCTCCCAAAGTGCTGAGATTATAGGCATGAACCACCACACCCAGCTGTAATAGATATTTTATAATAACTTTTATTTACTTTGGAAGATCTTAATATGTTAATTTCATTAGGATAATTTTAGTCTACAAAATTTTAAATTACAAAAGGTGTCATACAGAAAAGTTTTACTACTTTTCCATCATTATAAACTTCAAAATATTAGATAGGAAAATTAATGAGAAAAAAACAACTTATTTTTAAAAACGTTAAAAATAATTTAATTAAGTTACTTTTCTATTCAGTTAAGATAAATATACGTTGATTTGCACACTAAAAACTTAAACATAACATAATCACCTGATATTAATTTGTATGAAGTACGATATGATTTGTTTTTTGGTTGTTTTTTTTTTTGAGTCAGAGTCTCACTGTCGCCCAGGCTGGAGTGCAGTAGCGCACTCACGGCCACCACAGCCTCTACCTGCTGGGCTCAGGCGATCCTTCTGCCTCAACCTTCCAAGTAGCTGGAACTACAGGAGCAAACTACCACACCTGGCTAATTTTTGATTTATTGTAGAGACAAGGTCTCACCTTGTTGCCTGGGTGGGTCTCAAACCCCCAGGCTCAGGCAGTCCGCTTGCCTCAGCCTCCCAAAGTGCTAGGATTACAGGCTGAGCCACTCAGCCCAGCTTTATGATATGATTCGTATGCTAATTACTAATACAATAATAGAAAATTGTTTCTTATCTTTGCTAATATAGGCATGACATGCAGAGTTACTTCTGAATTTGTAAGTCAGATATGGTAAACAAAGTGGTTTATCCATTGGTTTTTTTACATTAAGTGCATGATCAAAAGTAAGAAACTAAATAAATTCTATTAAGAAGTGAACATTTGTTTTTAAAATGAATCATAGAAAATAAAAACTTGTAAACTGAGAGACCCTTCATATGTTTTTATTACTTAATGTATTCTTATATAATATTTATCTTGAAACAGGCAAGAAAACTGGATGTATATTTTGAATATGAAGAAAAAATAATGAGCAAAACGACTCTGGATAAATCTCTTCTGGATATAATATCAGACCCTGATGGTATGTACCATAAATTTGAGGTTAATATAAGTTTCACATCTCTTGAATACAACATTTTCAATTTGAGTAAACCTTGAATAGAATTATTGTTTTTCTGACAATAAATGCTAGCAAAAAGATAATTAATCGAGCTGTTTTCTGTTGAAACTTTTACAACTTAGCAGGTCCTAAAGTGGAAAACTGATTTTGCATTATACTTCATTGAACTTTTATTGACTAGTATTTAAGCACTTTTTATGTTCATTTGTTTAAAGTGATATTACTAGAAATTAGTCTCTGCTGGTTCTGATTTGAAGATTTGAAGGTAAAATATTCAAAACAAGTGGCTTTAAGTGATATACTTTCTAATTACTTTGGTTTACCCTCAATTTCCTGAAAAGACATATCTAAAACCGAATTCTATTTTACATATTTAGGAAATTTGCTTTTAAAAAAACTTTGTAATCAATCCCTTTATATTTATTTAAACATTTGTTAGATTTTCTTAAAGTACTACTATTTGTACTTAGAAAATGTAGTCTGCGGAGACCATTATGTTAAGTGAAAGACAAATTTCACATGTTCTCATTCATATGTAGATCTCATGATGATCAGAGTGGTTACCAAAGGTCCGAAGGGGTAGGGAATAGGGGAGTGAAGGGAGAAAAAAGATATAAATGTATTTATTACCACTGAACTATATGTACACTTAAAAATGGTGAAGATGGTAAAATTTTTTAAATTTAATATTAGTTAGAAGCTTTTAATTATAACGATTTTCTACATACATTTTAGCCTCTACAATGCTCTAAACTTTAGAGACCTGAATAGTTTTGATAATTTCAGAATAGTTTTGAATTAAAATCTCAGCTTTTTCCAAAATGAATGAAAGCCTTGGACCCATTTTTAAATATGAGTTATTTAAGCTGAATGTTGATAGTTTTAGAGCTATAGTTGCAGTATGAACTTGAGACTTTATTCCAAATTGGAAAATAGTTTAAAAATCCAAGCTGGTTTTTAATTATTTTATTTATAAAATCTTCTGAGGAGCCTGAAGTATTAGTCACACCTTTAAAAAGCTAAATTTGGGGTGGAAACATAGCATTTTGAAGGTATGTGCATTTTACAATGAAGAAATTGCAAAATATTATATATAAGCCCATCACTTCTTGTTATTTACAATAAGTTTTCGGTTGAAACAAAAAAGTGTATTGATGAAAAGGCAATCAGAGCCTTCCTTTTTCCTTCTCCTTTCATTCTCAAATGATTCCTTCCTAAAGACGTTAAGTAGAATACAGCAAGGTAGGTGTTCATGAAGAGTGGCAGCCTGGTGCCACTTTAGTTCAGAGCAAGATGTTAAAAACTGAGCAGGATGATGAGGGCATCTACACACGGGATAGAGGGAGGATTGGCATTCCAGTTTTAGGTGTCCAAGTGCAAGAAAGGTGAGCAGAGTATCCTACATGTGGGAGCAGCTCAGCAAGGGATGTGAGATCCCTAACAGAGTAAGAAAGATGACCTCCACAGGAGCAACACAGCCTGAGTCTACAGAGGATGACAATTATGTCTAGGTGTGGGGATGGGTCCATTGTAGGAAACCAGCCGTGCCCAAGTGAAGTGAGAAGGACATTCATGCAGCAAGGGAGTGGCAGCAGAGATAAGATATTTGTTATAGACAGAGGACTGGTTAAATAAGAAAATATATGGGGTAATATAAGGGAACCAGATTTTCCATTGTCAGAAAAGGAATTTATAAATATAGAAAGAGAAAAAAACTAGAATGAACCTTGGTCGTGTTGAATTGGAATTAGAGTTTCAGAGTTCCTCCCCACAAAATACTTATTAATTGCTAGGGTAGGAAAAGTAACTTCACAGTGGTGAAGCCTGATCAGTATCTTAGTAGGTAATCACAGTGTACATCATCAGTGATGAGGCGTACTGAAGTAGTACATCACCTAGTAGGATTCAGTGCAAGGAACACAGCACTTTTGATATGCTTTCCTAATCTCATCATGAAGATGTAGCAGGCAAAATTTAATTGTATAATATTCTAGGAAAAACTTAGCCTGTAATCCTTTAAAATATCAAGGCCATGCAAGTCAAGGAAAGATGGAGGAACTGTTTTATACAGAAGAAAACTAAAGAGGCGTGACAACTGCGTACAACACAAAAAGATTTGAAATTGATCTTTTGCCATAAAAGATATTTATAGAGATAATTTGTAAAGCTTGAAATGAGCTCTGAGGATTAGATAGTAATGAATATACCATTAGTATGTTTCATCAATTTAGTAATGTATCAGTGTCAGTTTCCTGGTTTTGATCATTGTTTTATTGAGAATGTCTTTGATATTTGGGGATGATGAAACAAGTCAGGGAAGAAAAAAGCATCCCAAACTATACTTAAAACTTTCTTAAAAAATAAATTACTCAGCGAGGGAATTCTGAATTTAAAATAGAGGGCAATCATAAGTGAGACTTAGGTGTGGCAAGAGGTTCCAGGCTATAACTACAGGCTCTATAGTAATCAAGCTTGTTGTGAAGGATACACTGTTGCCATTTCAGTTGGTTCCCCTGTAGTTATGCCATTATAAATATTAGGATGTTCTCCAACCACTACCGTCCCATGACTTTTTAAAACCGTAGCCCATGTCTATGGCATTTATTAACACTGTAGCAATTTTAAAGTATTTTTCCCCTTGAAGAAGAGTGGAACCTGTTCCTCTAAGCAAAATAAGTGTCTAATAGAAAAGTCCGTGCTTGATGGTAAGGATATTAAAACCTACCACAAGGACCCACAGGTCTCTAAAACTCTCATAGAAGGGGAACCTTCCTCTTGTATCTTGTATCCTCTTGTGGTCCCAAGAGGATTGAGTAAGCCCCATTATTCTATCTCTAGTTGTCCCAGCTGCTTGGTCACAGTTGCAGCAATAGTTGTAGGAAGTGTACAAAGGAACAGGGTAACTAAAGCCAAAGCTTTCTGGCTGGAGCACCAGAAAGGGAAGGCCAAGGGAACAGGAAAATACCAGAAAGATTGTGGAAGAGAGGATCTCAGGAAAGCAACCTCATAAAGTTGTTTATGAATTCCTGGGCTCCCCGCTGAACCACACATGCATGAAGCTGATCCTAAACAGCATTTCAAGGACTGAGAGGTGAAGGGCTGTACTGTCTCTCAGTTCCTAAACTGGCCACTGGTTGATGGGATGGATCCCAGTAGCACAAAAGAAGGTTTTAAAATGGAATCGATGATGGAAGCACAACCCACAGAAGGCCATAGAAAAATTAGCCTGCACCCAGTCGGGCTAATTACTTGCAAAAACAAATATATCAGCTTTCTCCATTTAATAAGCCCTTGACTCCCATGACCCAGTATTCAAAATGTCCCTGATGTAATATTTGTATGAGAACTTTGGAGACTTATCATTGATCTTTATTTTACCATTCTTTGTCACTTTCAGGGAATAAGGATAATTTGAGGATGAGTGTCTGGATTCTAAATCATATTAAAAAATCAATGGTTCATCGGTCATGGTGTTTTGAAAAAAATCGTATAGTTTTTATTCTATAATAAAATACGACAATTCTGAGTTCTTGCATCTTAGGACACACTTTGAAGTGACAGTGACTATTGTTATTTGTTGGGACCAGTGCTTTATCACATTTCCACCAAAGTGCATCTGATAGAAGTGAGTTTCTTTGGACAGTCTTGGGCTTTGGATAATAGGATTAGTAGCTTAAAGCACTACAAGCAAGAAATTTATTTGAAATCTTCTATTTTGTCTTAAAATTTGAAGCAGATATATTCTACTGCATAACATAACACTTTATTTTAATATAAAAGTATGGTTTTCCCAAACTTCATAGTAATATAATATCCTAAAGAAACATGTATATTTAAGGGCCCCAATTTGATAAATATGACTTTAGGTTTAGCTAAATGATTTTGTTTAGCTGATACCTAGGTGACCGTACAACTGGTTTCCCAGGACAGTCCCTTTTTTTTTTTTTTGAGTTGGAGTCTCACTCTGTCGCCCAGACTAGAGTGCAGTGGCCGCTTCCGGCCACCGCAGCCTCGACCTGCTGGGCTCCGGCGATCCTTCCGCCTCAGCCTTCCAAGTAGCCGGAATAACAGGCATGTGCTACCACGCCTGGCTGATTTTTTGATTTATTGTAGAGATGAGGTCTCGCTGCCCAGGCGGGTCTTGAACCCGCGGGCTCAGGCAATCCACTCACCAGCCTCCCAAAGGCACGGGATTACAGGCTGAGCCACCAAGCCCGGCAACAGTCCCATTTTTATACCAGTTGTCCTTATGTAATTGTTACTGGCACCTCCTTTGCATCTCAAAAGTATCCTGTTTAGAATTGTATGATTACGCTGCCTATATCATTTCATTCTGAGTTTATGTGTAAAGATGAAATCAACATAGTTTGGAAGATGCAGTGAAGATGCTCCCACAATCCTCTAAATAGCCCTCTAATCTTACATCATTGAATCTTTTCCATGTTTATATTTTACATGGCTATAATTATAGTACCTGTTACCTTTTAACTTAGTTAAATCAAGAACTATGTTTTGTTTTGACATATTTATATGTGACTTGAATTTTAATGTACAGGTAAGTATTGACTATAACACATAGTGGCCACAGTTATGAAAGTATTTTTTTCATCTGTTTTCCCCTACGTAGCTGGAACTCCAGAAGATAAAATGAGGCTATTTCTTATCTATTATATAAGCACACAGCAAGCACCTTCTGAGGTAGGTCCCCTGTTCAGTTCCTGAGAGGAGGGGGAAATGCTTGTTTGTAGACTACTACAACTTACATTTTAAAAATAGAAGTGATCACCATGGCTAAATAGCTACCTCATTCCTTTCTTTAAAAGAAAAACAGTTTGTTAAGACTGGTTCTGTTTACTGCTAAGTTTTATAGTAATATTTATTGTCACCAGGGGAAATTATCCACCCATGAAACCATCTGACCACTTTTAAGTTGTTGGAATATGAACTGAATTCATGTGGCCAAAATTTTTATTTTTGGAAAATAACTATTCTAAACTAAGTTAACCAGGTTTGCTATGCTTTTGAAAGGTCGGTCTTATTTTAAGATTGTTTTAAAGCTAATATCCAAGATAGAAAATATATTGTCTATTCTATAAAGAAAAGTAGAAGTTTTGGTATCAGACTTCCTGCTGGATTAAAGACTCTTCCTAATGTTAACTCAGTTTAGTTTTACTAAATAAGCAACAAGCATAGAAACCTTGAAGATGACATCTGAAATTATATGGCTGTTTTAAGCCTCTTAACTTTACTGTTAGCAATTATTTTTTAATGTCTGGTAAATTGTAAGGCTTCTGTTGGTTAAAAAAAAAAAAAAAGCTTTGGCATATTAGAATAGCAAATTAAACACAATATTTGTTTCAGGCCATTCTGTCTTTACTTGAGAATAAAAATCTTTTAATTGTATAAGAAGGTGTGATTTTCTTTTAAGAAGTATCTCTTTCATTAATGGAAGTTTACCTATATATCAAGGGAGCCTAATAGCCTAAGTATAATGTTTTCTTTAAAATATATGATTTTAAAACTTAACTCAATAATTCCTTAATTTGGCCACATTTTTATTTATTTTGGTAAGGATTATATATTTTCTTCAATTTAAGAAAGTTAATTATGTCTTTTAGTTCTTCATTAAGAGGATTGAAGCAAGTTTTGACTACTGATATCAGATTTATGGCCCCCAAAATACAAAGCAGTTAAAGTCTCTGGTTACTGGTGGGCTTAAAAGCTTCTCCCTTATAAAATTTTTGTAGTAGAGTCACTATGATGATAGGCTCCCTTAACTTATACTGATTCAACGAGACTTACTTATCAGGAAATAAAAAAGAATAAGGAGGAGTGAAAAAAAGAACAATTTAAGAAGTGTAGGGCACCTGTTGTTCAGTTCATGAATCTGGACCCCTGGAATGAATGTGAGATGGGAACTCTGAATCTGCAGTTGGTGTCATTCCCTTTGTGTTTCTGGTTTTGAAATAGTCTTGGTCAAGGCAAGTCATTCATTTAGTGTTTGTCCTGAGGAAAGGTAATCTTTTTCAGCAGTAGAGGAAAATCGGACTCTGTTGACTTCTGGGGGATCACAAAAGACTGTATGTATTTGATAGGTGATTTGGGAGCCTCATAATATGTAATTTTTGTCTCAGGTTCTCACTTTTGTACTCTTTTAAGATGTAACTCCACTCTACTTGGATGCCTAGAATTTAAATGTATACTTTTGGTTTAATTTTTTGATTAATCAGATGACAAAATGACATTTCACAAAAGTAAAAATTTTTGTCATACAGTTCTTTTCTTATTTCAGGCTGATTTGGAACAATATAAAAAAGCTTTAACTGATGCAGGCTGCAACCTTAACCCCTTACAATATATCAAACAGTGGAAGTAAGTTTTACTTTCTTCTTTAATTGCTGTCATTTAGGAGACCATAATTGAGGTTTCATTCCCAAGAAAATGTGAACGCTAATAAGAAAATTGAACAATGCCTTGGTGGTTTTTTATAGCCACTTACATAAATATTTCCTTATCTGGCTCACTCTATCCACCCCTTAAAATTAAATAAATTAACGGTGCCTTTTTTCCTAGACAATTTTCTTTACTGATAAGGTGAGAAAGTCAAAGACTGAAATATTTTGGGTCAAATGTCTCAAAAGCATTCAAATTTCACCAGTATTCAGAGAAATACAGATGAATATAATACAAACATTTGGTGAATATCATGCCAAAGATACAGGAAAATTAATTAGTGCATTCATATTCTACTATTAGGAATATAAATCATCACAATTTTTCTGGATGATACAAAAAGTTTTTTACAAATAGCTCTGACCTAGTATTTCTCTTAAGGATTTATCTCAAAGAAGTAATTGTTCATAAAGAAGGTGGCTTTGAACAGAATCTTAAAAGGAAATGTGCTGTTTCTGTTGAAGAAAGTAGTGAGTTTATACTCTCCAGAGGACATCATGAGCAAAGACATGTGTCTGGGAACAAGGAAGTATTGAATATGAGAAAGTAAAGAGACTAAACTTAATCATTACATGATCTTTAAGTCATCAAATCTCTACCTCATTTTTTTTGTTTTTTGTTGTTTTTTTTTTTAAATTGTCGGACATAAGGGAAAGGAAGAAAAATTGTGAAGTTTGGAAAACTAATGCGTTTGCGTGTTTTAAGGAATTTTATTGTGTCAGAACTATTAATTGTGTGTATATTAGTTGAAAAATTATTTCTCTTTTCAGAAAATGTCTGCATCATAGAAGTTAGAATTCGTCAATACACATTTTAATGCCATAATACTGAAGTTAGCTGTAATAAGTGGTTTTTAAGTGTTACTTTCTTATTTCATAGGGCTTTTACCAAGATGGCCTCAGCTCCTGCCAGCTATGGCAATACCACCACTAAACCAATGGGGTAAGTATTTTTAATACTTCTGAATGAATCTTTGTACTCCACACCTTAATGTTTAGAGAATGCAGAATGTTTTTGTTATGATAAAGAATAAATGTCAATATAAATGTCTTTTTTAAATATTGTTTATTTTTAATTGACACATAATTATACATATTTATAGGTGACAACGTGATATTTCAGTATATGTATACTATGTGTAATGATCAAATCAGAGTAATTAGCATGTCTGTTGCCTCAAACATTTATCATTTCTTAGTGTTGGGAACATTCAAGTTCTCATTTTTAAATGTAAGTCAGTGTTTTTTACATTTTATGGGCCAAAACTTAGGTGACATTATTTACAGTGTAATGTGATCCCTACTTATTCATTTGTGTGTGTATGTGTTTGTGTGTGTGTATTAAATATACACACATAAACATTTAATTGCATAGCTGAAATGACATATACCTAAATATTAATAGTAAAATTTTACTCCAAGGCATAACATTTTTTCCTCTTGGGTTCTTTTCATGATTTTCCAAATTTTTACAACAAACATTACCCTCACAATTACTTTCTTTGTTTGTAAAACATACCTTTTTCATTTTCAGAAAATATTTGATGATTCGGGCTATTTTTATATAAATGTTGATAACTAATATAGACTTGAAGTTAGGCACTCAAGACCTAGCTTTAAAATAGATACAGGCATAGTGCTAAATGATCGGAAGTCCTCAGGGCTGGGTATGACTTCTTACTCCAGAGAATCCAGTAGAGTATGTGTGATTTTCAAAGAAGCTAAACAAAGTTTCTGACTGCTCTTTTCCATACTGTACAAGTTTCAAATTCCTACTTTATTTGTTAGAGTTAGAATAAAAGATGAAGCCACAGAACAGGTTTACCCTAACCCCACACTGAGCAACTGGTTTTAATAAAAACACTTTCCAAAAACAAAGGCACTCAGCCTCCAGCAGGATCTTATAAATGCTTGGCAAAATGAATCCAGCTGGCCTCACCTTCAGACAATGCTGTGCAGGTTAGCACAGCCCTTTAGAGTTGCCTGGTGCCAGGAATTGCCTCAGGGTCATTTATTTCAGCAAACATTACTTTCCCTTGTTTTTGTTAATGAAAAGATTCCCATCCTGTCCATCTATTCATTTCAGAGGGGAGTAAGAACAAGAGAGTGAAGAGGAAAATATTTTTGGAAAATTGCTCTCATATATATATAGCAAAATAGATTTTTTAGTTCTATACCTTAAAAATCTTTTTGAGTTTTAAAGTCTGTTAGATTTCTAATGAATTTTGTGGTTGGGGATTTTATTAAATGTGTTATAAGACAGTCTTGAATGATTTGAAGGCTATACTTAGCCTTCTGATATTATAATGCAGGATTATTCTGTCCGACAAGGAATTCTTTGATCCCGTGTGACAGACTATTTGACCCACAGATATAAACCTAGTATTGCAAGTCATGTGTTAGTGTTCTTTTTTTATTTGAAATTTGACAGCATTCTTCAGAATTGAAGCGAAATTCTCTATATTGTGCTTCATGCTTTTATATGGTAGATTTTATGTATATATAGAGGGGGAGTTAATATACAATGCAGGATTGGACCTAACTGCTATTATATATTTTATATATCTGTGTATATATTATATATTATTCTCATTAAAAAAAAACACAATAACATTTAACTTACTCATAATATTTAAAAGGTTGGACTGCTAAAGCAAGTTGTCTGAATTACTGTCTTTAAATTTATTGTTTTAGCATTAAGATAATCAGGAAGGCCAGGAATTCTCCTCAGACTCTAGTTTGCCCAAAAACTACAGCTAAGGCTAGGCAATTAAGATGTTTATTTTGTGACCATGAGTGTGCCACTGTACTCCAGCCTGGGCAACAAAGAATGAGACTCTAACTCAGAAAAACAAAAAAGAATGTTTGTTTTGAGGTCTGGTCTTTACATTTTAAAATAATTGTTGAATCTTTCTTATTATCAAAGCTTAGATAACATTCTCACTTTTATAGTGGCTTGTTCTTATAAAATAGTCGACATATTAAAAAATAATAATTATTGATTAATCAGAGTATCTTATTACTATTTTATGGTTAAATAAAATTGCAGCAGTGATCCCTGTGGCAGCAGAAATTCTCAAGAACCTTCTATTTAGAGAAAACAAAAGTGGTAGGTACAGCAAGTATCAGCGTGTAGTGTGTAATCCGGCAAATATTTTATCTGTAACAAATTGGAGAGGCAGTTTGTACTTATATGGTCCTGCTTCTCTTTTGCCCCTTAGTCTCTTATCGCGAGTCATGAATACAGGATCACAGTTCGTGATGGAAGGAGTGAAGAACCTGGTTTTGAAACAGCAAGTAAGTATACTTGTTAGAAAACATACTGGTAACTTTTAAACATTAATGTTGACAGCCTAACTGCTCAGGTAGAGCAACTTCTGGGCTTATTCAAGTAATAAATGAGTAGGGAGTTCTTTATTAGTATATTTAAGAATATGAAGGTGTATTTACACATGTAGCTCAGGGCTCTGGATTTGGGCTTTACTTACATTTTGATTTCTCTTTGCCATCAGGTTTGTGAAAGTACATTGCTACATAATGAATAGCATTTGTTTTAACATATACTTAAAAGTATCAATAAGCTAAAGAACATAGTAGTCTAGAGTCCTGTGTAAATTGGAATAAGTAAAGTATTTTAAGTAGAATTTACATTTTGAGATAATACAATTATAACTTGACTTTCTTTTAGCCCTTCATTTTACATATAGAACATTTTAAATGATTTTTGTGTTTTTGTGATTTTCCTATTATTCTGATGTATTTTGCTTCAGAATTATTATTAATTGATTTGGTTTCTTTTCAAAAAGGGTTTTTTAAAACTTTATTGTGAAAATCTTCTAATATGTATTATCAAATTCTCCTGATCCTTGCAGTATACAGCATCCATTCTTGTTTCATCTATCCCATTTGTGGTTTTTATTTTGTTTATTTTTTCTGGAATATTTTAAGGTAAATCAGAGACATAATATTTTGCACAAATACTTGGATTGTAATGAGAAGGACCTAAAAGGCCAGATTAGCAAAATTGAAGAGTGCATGAGTTATTCTGATCACATGTATTTAAAAAGATCTTTTCTGTCCTCCATACTTTCTAACTTTTTATAATGTTTACCTGTGGTGATTTATATAGATATTCTTTGTGTTTTACTTCTTAAGTTCTTTAGTACTAGAAATTTTTTCCCCATATTTGAATTTTTCATAGCACTTTGTGTAAAGAAGTTTTCTTTATTAAAGTGGATTCTTTATTTAAATTCTTTATTTGTATAAGTGAACAGCATTTTATTATAAAAACCATGTAATATTAATAAAGAACAGTGAAAAATTCTAATTTGCTTTATTTAATTAAAAGGCTGATTACTTTTTAAGCTTTTCCTTCCCATAAATTCTCAACTGCATTATTTCCCAAGTACTTGGGAACATTTTTAGCCTCGTTATTCCTGTCAGAAACTATTGTCGAACACTCTTATCCTACCTCTCTCCTGGTAAGGAGCTGCTACCAGATCCTTAATCCACTTTTTTTACTGGTTCACTGTACTATCCTGAGTCAGCTTATCTTCACCTTCTTGGACTGTAAATGGTGAAAAGACACAATAGGAAGTTTGGACACTATTAGAGAAAAGTGTGCTATACTTTACAATGTAGCCTAGCCCCACTCGTATTATGTATCAACTATGGACAAAACGATGATTTTGTTACGTGAGACAAAGGGGGACCACCAATATCTAAGGTAGTGTCTGCCTTTTGCTAGATTGACTGGTTATTACATAATCATATGTAATTCAACCTATTTTTTAAAAAAATTACATATTTTCCTTAACATGTCACTGTTAAAAGTAAAACCCAATACTAAAATTCCCTAAACAAAGTATTCCTTATAACATATAACTCATAGCATGTAGAAATTAGATTTTAATCTGTAGAGTGATCCTTTTTTAAACTTATTGCCTTAGAGTTACATGGTATATGTCCCCCAGTGATACTTGTAAAATATGTCTAAATTGGTTAACTCTTAAGTATTTTATTGTGCTAACACAAAATTGTTTTATTTAGAGTTTATAAAATATAAAAATAAATTACCCTGTGTGACCTCAAATCTCTTTGCTTTTCTTAATATTACAAATAAAAGCTGTTTAATAGCAAAAACGTGGAACCAACTATGCTGCCTATCGAAAGAAGACTGGATTAAAAGAATGTGGTACATATACACGATATAATATTATGCAGCCATAAAGAAGGACAAAATTATGAACTTTACAGCAACTTGGATGGATGTAGAGTCTATAATACTGAATGATCTATCACAGAAACAAAGAATTGAGTACCACATGTTCTCACTCATAAGCAGACCCTGAACAATTATCATAATACCGCAAGAAAGGGATTGGCAGTAGTGGGAAACTGCCAGGAGAGGGAGCAGGGAATAAGGGGCACACTTCATAATTAAGGGTACCTGATCTCAAACCAGGTGAAATGGGACCAAAGTGAGGCCCAGACTTTACCTACACAACGACCATTAATATACCTAGCCCTGAATTGTACCCCATAACTTTAAAATAAAAAAAAATTTTTGAAGAAAGTAGGGGAAAAAAACCAAAAAAACTGTTTTGACATAGGAAGTTTCTCACAAAAGTAAAATTTGAAATGATTGGTGGTTACCACAATATAGCATTTCTGCTACCACTACCAGAAGAGCCATTCCATTAAAAAGAAATTAGAATTAAAAGAAATATGAGCTGGGCTTGGTGGCTCAGCCTGTAATCCTGCGCCTTTGGGAGGCTGAGGTGAGTGGATTGCCTGGGCCCGCGGGTTCGAG